CGAGAGAAGAATGTGTAGCGCTGAGTTAATACATATATATGGTGATAGTGTCGGGGTTAACGCTAAAGCTAACAGGCTAAGCTGAGGTCCTTCTTCCATGAAGCAGCTCTGTTGTCCTCCATCCATATTTTCAGTTCCAGGCTGAGTCATTTCTACCTTCTCCTCTCTGTCAACGCTCTCTGGTTTCATTTAAAAGAGTYGATCATCAGATATTGTCCAAGATTAACCTTCAGGGTGGATATAGCTCGCTAGCAGCCTTGCACCGATGACCTATCCATGTCATCATTTACCCAGAATGCTTTGCATGTAAATAAAATGGCCTCGTCCGTGTAATAAATTTTAAAATTTTTAGTTTTAAAATTATAAAAATTAAACAGCCTACAGCATTTTTACAGTTTTTATTTTACAGTTTAAATACTGTATATGTTTATCAAATAAAGTCTAATGTTACAGCTAATCAGGGATCCATTTAAAAGATAAACTTTGAAGCGTGGCCTAGATCAGGGGTTGTCAAACATTTTGGTCTGGGGACACCTTACAAGGGTGAAAAGTTTCCAGGGACTCCCTTATAAAAGTCATGCTGATTTAAAAATAATTTACTTTGTTTGTTTCCATATGTTTGTTTAACTGGGGCAATATTCCTCATATGCATTCATGCATTTTTTAAAAACAAAAAACAAAATTAACACCCCGCCCCCGTAACCTCTGGCCTAGATGCTTTTTTTAGGCAGATGGTGTTTATCAATTTTTTTTAAATTAATGGAGACAGTGTTTTTGTTTGTTTGTGGTTAAAATTTGGCTAATGTTAATGATTTTTAGTCAAAATTTACAAGGTAGTAGCTGAAAGTTATTCACACTCATAAACATTTGTTTAAAACCTTGTTATTAACCATTGCAATTACCACCATCAGTCTGTTAGCAGAATATCTCATAAATCACTGGTCAAATTTTAAAAACCAGTTTCATTAAAAGCCTATATTGAGCAGCTGTTCCTCAGCCTTGTGAATCTGTTTTGTTTGTTTACATTAATATTAATGAGGTGCACATGGGTCACACAGACGTAGCCACATTTCACCACCTATTATTAAAATACATGTAGATAATCTTTGCTTGTATTTATTACAGAAACACAACCCATGTGTAGAAAGGCCGCATGTTTTTTCCAGCGCGAAGGTTGATGCATCGCATCCATCTTTGAGCCTGCGTGGCTCCAGTGGGGACACTCTCATGACCCAACAATGGCTTTCCTTTATGAAACTCATTCAAAGTGTGTGTTTTATGACATTTGCAGATTTGATTTAGTGCCTGTGTTTCAGCCCTGAGGGGTCGAACGTGTCTGATTTATTGATTCCATTCCAACAAGAGCGACGACTAAAAGCTGCAGAAGTGGCTGCGTGAAATGGAAACGCTCATGCATTTATTTATGTCATGCATTTCATGCTTTATAGTGTCGGTGAGGASGCTCTGCTCCGGCTGGTGTTTAATATTTGAGCTGTATATAGGTACTGTAATCTACTGTTTACATCTGATCCGACTCGAGAAGGTCATGATACTGGGGTCCTTTTCCCCCACAGCTAGCAACAGATACTTCTAACAAGAAGTTTATGGTTGTTCCTGACTGTACATGCTCTCCTCCTGCTCCTCCTGCATGCTTAGGTTAACTCTAACCAATAGTGCCCTATAGGCAAGATTTCACTTGGTGCCCCTCGTTCATATTTTGTTTTGATATTATTTTTATCTTTAGAAAACAGAATGTCCAATTAAAATAGGTAACACTATCATTCATTTGAAACAGAAAACCAGACATTTACCTCATACCTGGCGACATCCGCTGACAACAATGAGGAACACCTGTTCATGTTAATGAGCAGCTGTGGAGTGAAGCAGTTCTAGGAGGGTCCAGGGGTGTTGATTTTGATTTAACAGGAAAAGATTACGAAAAATCAAGCCTGACTCAGCATAATTGCTGTTTTACAGCAGGTTCCTGTTCTGCAGCACATAACACACTCAGAATTACAGCAT